TGCTTGTTCATCGCCTTAATGCTCTTATTGATCTTATTTCGATGGCCAATAAGCTTGACACCAATTCTTGACAAATCTTCTTCCTCAAGGGATTTCACGTGACCAAGGTCCATATATCCAGCGTTAGCAAAGTGTGTTGCATACCGGGCCATGTTGATGCTACCCAGCCAATCCTCAATCGTATGGACATCGTGGAAATTGGTGTTATAGCTATTACTGCAAAGAAATGAAGATATTAGCTTCCTCTGGAGGTAACACATCGGAAACATAAAGGGGACTGAGAACATAGAAATCAGTGGCTGAGCGGAAGTGGCATTGGTCACAACATCTCATGAAGAGAGCGAAACTGAAAGGGAATTTTAGCTACCAGGAATCCTTCGCGAAATAGAGAAAAGTCATCACCGCCATGTTGAATGAATGAATAAGAGACGCTAATGAGGGAGGGAGTGCTTCGCGCGTTTTTTCTTTCATCAAAAATGGAGGCTATGACGTAGCGTCCGCTTTAAGAGTTCTTAATAGTTAATATTACTTAATTAAGTAATGGTAACTGATACCCATGTATCAGTCATTCCAAAAGTTCTCTAAAACGTGGACATTAARCAGACATGAACGTTATAACTAATTCAACATGGTCTTCTGGAGTTGATGCACTCAATCCGTGAAACAAACACGTATTACTACTAAATAATATATATTAGACACTATAAAACAAAGGAATGAACATAATTATTTYGTAATATTTATATAACAGAACTATATTTATAACAGAATTAACTTACTTTATTGAATGAAAATGATTCAATCCATTCTGCATTTTCTCTGGTGAACGAATCATGTCGTCGATTTGTTTGACTATATCTGGAAACTTTGGTCTGTTGTTCTTCTCTGCGTCCCAGCAATCAAGCATTAGGTTATGAATGGCTCTGGGACAGTTCTATGGAATAGAGAGTAAAAACATTCAATTTAGCCAGGAAAAATATAGACATAGCCATGTATACTTTTAATAAGCAGAGCCATTAAAAATGGTAAAAAGGGTG